GGCAGCTCTGATGTGATATTAGGAAGCTCGTAAGTGGCTGTTTTGTTTAAAATTAGTGTTTATGTAATTATTTTCAGATTACATATTCAATGTTTTATTCGTTCAAGGCAGTCATATTTGTTCAGAACTTTAATATTAGTAAGCCTGAGAGTTACCGGATCCAAGCAAACAGTTACCGGTACACACCCTGTCAAAATAAGAGAGTTCCCGGATCTTGTTCTGGCAGGATTCGGCTCAAATTAAGCCCTGGTGGCAACCCAATTTTCGAAAGGAAGCTTTCTCACACCTAGATGCAGCCTTGCACCAAAATGGAAGTTGGTACCCAATTTATACGTCTAGTTATTCTGCGCACTACATTCACAGATTGACAGAGGTATTTGTAATTGCTCTGCGATGGGGGAGAAAACTTTTCCCCACTTGTCGAGAAACAAAAGCACCTATTTTTGGTAGAACAAAGAAAGAAAATTAAAATTTGTCTGTGAAAAACTGCTAATCAAATACTTTAAAAGATGACAGGAGACAAAGAGGTTTGTGTCTGGGAATTTTATTTAACTGGTTGTGTTACATTCAAGTTGGACTGGTGCCAAAACAGATCATCTAAAAAAGGGAAATAAATCTATGATTTTAAGGCAGTGTACTTATAATAACCAACAGACACAAACACATATCTCATAAAATCTACATGTTTTCATCATTTAGTAGCACCACAATCAGTAACACAACAGAACCATGTCTTTATTCTGTCACCATTTTTACGGCAACCGTCAGGAAAGTCTTGCTTTCTACTCTGCGTCTTCGTGAATCTGCAGAAGTCTAAAAGTGACAACAGTTCAAGCATGAAAATCTTAAAAATACAATTTATGAAAGCTAAACATTAACCTTAGGTCATAGCTGTGGTGTTTAAATTGATAGTTTGGCAATTTTAAAGTGGATTTTTATTGAGTAAAAGTCATAAAAAATATTTTACTTGTCCAAACTTTTTGGATCAACATTGGTTTCATAAAATGAGGAGCTAGCAGGTAGTTCAAACACAACTAGGACCAGAAAAGGGGCTCTCTCATACCCAATCTCCAAAATTTCATTTAAGTTCATGCAAAAGCTGTTTTATGCATGCCCAATAATCCAGGTAGAAAAATTTAACAAAGTTAAATCTGGTCCTCAGGATGGTTTCTTTTTGTTGAAAGGTTTCATCTTTTATCCTAAAGACTTATTCAGTCTGAGGAGTTGCACTAAACTCAGTCTTATAAATAGCACCTTCTCATAGTGGATCAATCAGTTTGCTGATGACATCCAGCACTAACTGTTCACAATCAAGGAGGACCATCCGCCTAACAATGATCATTAGCAAACTGATGGCTGTTTGTTATTCACGGGGGGTTGAGTGATACTAGCAATAACAGCATTGTAAGAGGGGGACAGTTGAACATGGAGGCCTCCACCCGTTTAATGATGGACGATTTATTTTCACCAAGATGACCTCCTTTACTCCTAACCATCGTTCCTCTCTGTCCAGGATGTGAACACCCTCATCCCTGAAAGAGTGACCGCTGGCCTTGAGGTGAGTGTGAACTGCAAAGTCCTGGCCTGATGATGTTGATCTTCTGTGCTGGGCCATCCTTTTGGCCAGTGGTGGTTTAGTTTCCCTGATGTAAGACTGATCACCCTCCTGACACTGAACAGCATACATAATATTACTCTGTTTGTGCCGGGGGACTGGATTTTTGGGATGGACCAGTCTTTGCCGTAATGTATTTTGGGGTTTGAAAGCCACTGGAACGTTGTGTTTAGAAAATAAACATCTCAGTTTCTCTGAAACTCTTTCAACATAAGAAATGATACCTTTCTATAAACCTTTACATCGTTGTTTAAGTCTCATTATTGGACTTCTTCTGGTATTTGCATGCAAAAATGGCACCAGCAGCAGCAATATGTGGCACTCCCAGAGCATCCAGGCATCACATCTGAGAGGAATGTCACTATTTTTGGCATATAACATGAAACTGGCAGCAATGAAAAGGTTTCAATAGCTTTCACAACCTCTTGGAAATGTTAAAGATACAAGTTGCTGTAAGATGGCAACAATCTATTTTGGGAATGCTAAATAATCCTTATCTTTAATAATATCTAATATATTATTTAAACCTCTTTTCAGTTTAGTAATTCAAATTTTTACAAATATATTTTGATATTCTGTCAGAAATGCCTCCCGAATGCACAAGAAAAGTTACATCTTGTTGCCGCTGTAAATAACCACAGAATTTCATGTACAGTAGTCCATCACTACTACGCAGTTCGACTTTCACAGACTCACTGATTTGCAGCTTTTTATTATAAGATTGTACACGACACACGATTGGCTGAATGATCGAAAGCTACCAACCAGAGCATTGTGCTCTGTATCCTGGGCGCTGACTGGCTCACTAACAGTAGGATCAGTCTGTCTGCTCTGTTTCATAAGAGACTGAATTTATTTTAAGACATACGATGCAAACATTCTGCACCTTCTAAAGGGTGTGTGGGTAGGGTTTATAAAGTCAATCCATCCATTATCTTTTACCCGCTTCTTCCATTGTTGGTCACGGGGGTCGCCGGTGCCCATGTCCAGCAATCACTGTGCGAGGGGCGGAGTACACCCTGGACGGGTCGCAAATCCATCACAGGGACGCATAGAGACAAACCACCATTCACTCTCTCTCACACACCTAGAGACAATTTAGAGTTACCAATCAGTCTAACATGCATGTTCTTGGTCTGTGGGAGGAAATCGGAATACCCGGAGAAAACCTACGCATGCACGGAGAGAACATGTAAACTCCACCCAGAAAGGCCCCTGGACCGGGATTTGAACCAGGGACCTGCTCACAGAGAGGCAGCAACTCTGCCAGTTGCGCCACCATCTCTGCCAGTTGCGCCACCGTGCTGCCCTTTTACAAAGTCTTTAAAAAAATTAAAAAATATATAAAATATATATATATATATATATATATAAAAATATATGTATACATATACATATACATATACATATACATATACATATATATATATATATATATATATATATATACATACATATATATCCATCCATCCATTATCTTTACCCGTTTATTCCATTTTGGGTCACGGGGGTCACTGGTGCCCATGTCCAGCAATCACTGTGCGAGGGGCGGGGTACACCCTGGACGGGTCGCAAGTCCATCACAGGGACACATAGAGACAAACGAGACAAACAACCATTCACACTCTTACTCACACCTAGGGACAATTTAGAGTTACCAATCAGCCT